AAAAAAAAAAAAAAAAAAAAAAAAAAAAAAAAAAAAATATATTTAAAAAACCCCCAAATCCCTTTTATACACTTTTTATTTTTCATTCTTTTTATATTTTAGCAGCTCAATTTTTAGCTTATAATACTCCTCCTGTAAACAGAAAACTTTTTTGTGCTGTGTGAGAGTATCAATTTTGATCTCCAATTTTCTGTCCAGCAGGGATGGTGTTGAGGTGGCTGCAGCAGGCTGGCTTATCTGATACACTCGCTGAGGGTCGCACACCTGCGATGTTGACGGTCGCGGTTCCTCTGACGGTTCCATGCTGCAAAAAATGCAGAAAACAATTCTTTTGTTTATTGTTTTGTTTTGTTCACATGCGAGTGCACAAAAGATGGCACATTGTCTATATATTAAACAGCACTTGTTCTTGACAAATAAAATTTGACTTGAATTTGAATTTGAAATGTCACATACACAGTCATACAGTCATACACTGTACGATATGCAGTGAAATGGTTATATGACCGCCCGTGACCTTAAAAATAAAAGCATATTAATAGGAAATAAATATGAATAAAAAGAAATACAATAGAAAATACATTTAGCTAGGATAAAAATATTCTGTACAATATAGAAAATATAGAAATTTTAGTATAAATAAAAAATATCTATTTGCCTATTGTACACTTTAAAAATTTTGTCCTACCTTTGTTGTATTCCCATTAGCTGGATCATTGAGCTGTCTGTGCCTTCCTTCAGCCAAGTGACAGATATTTCTGAGTGTCCAAGTACATTAAATACAGTTTCCGCTACCTGTGACAGTTGTTTAGCAGGTGGTCCTCCACCTAAAAACACAGTAGTTTAGGTGTGTAGTTCTGTAGGCATATTCAATCAAGCCAGATATAGTAACAAACTGCAATAATCACTCACCTGTGCTTGAAGAATCCTGTTTGTGTGCTGCAATCTCCCTCCTGGCTTGAGACTGCAACACATACCACCGCTTTTCACATTCCTCACTGATGCGCACAACCAGAGGGAAAGAG